GTATGCTCCTGGTGGAGTTAGGATTTGCTTATTTGTGCCCATTGCAAAGCTAACATTTACGTGAGGCACATGCCCTGCTTGCGTAGCGAGTAGTTGAGGAAATTGCTTTCTGCTGCAATTCGTTGGCATGACATTTTAGCTGATAGAATTTTCTGATCGACTAGGAATTGACGAAAAAGTACCAGGATTACTAAAATCGCCCAGACAATCAGTGCGGATATTCCATGTTAGTGATGTTATTGAGATGCTGTCGCACATTGGGCGCAGTTATTGGTAAAAAATTATAGGAGATTATTGTTATTTGAGATGAAAAAAAGTCCCCTCTGTAAACTCAGGGGAGAAGTTTTAGATTTTACAGTAGACATTACATATAGGTGCTATAGTTTATTGTGGTATAGCTCGTTTACCGCTTTTTATGCATTTTTTAGCGGGGAACGACTTCGGAACTGGTTGACAAAGGAAGTTGAAATTTTGCAAGGATATTCTCTGTCCATATGTGAGCTGGGTCAAATGTTTCACGGACAGTGAATGCCATGGTGGGGCGGTGGCTGATCTTTGAGATGTTAAGTGCGAGTTAATTGAAGCAGGATTTTTTGCAGTTTTTATGAACAGTTGATGTAATTGTATGCGTGTGATGCGTCATTCCTTGCGTAGGCAATGGGAACATCATGGTCAAACAGGGCTGCTTTGCAGGATTTCTATGATCAACAGGTTGTCTTTCAGTGTAATTTTTTTGGTGCCATCAAATCCAAATCTCTTAATTTTCACATTTTTCCTGGTAAAGCGGAAGATTTTGATACATCATACCTCGGCTTACTAAATGAAGAAGTCTGGCTCTGGAATAGTTCATAAATGCCTAACCTCTTCCCGATAATTTTTAATGGCTAAGTTTAGCTGGACAAATTACAGTAACTCGCTCTTCCAAAAGTATGTGCGTGTGTATGTATGTGTGCATATTTGTATAAACATGTGTGTATTTATGTTTGTGTGTATCTATGCGCGCCCATTCGCCTATGTTTATGTGTATGCATGTATGTATGTATGTGTTTATGCATGTATGTGTGTATGCGTGTGTGTGGTGGTGTGTATGTATGTCTGCATTTATGTGTGAAGTATATGTCATGTAATTATGTGTGTATGAGTGTGTGTGTGTGTGTATCTGTATGTGTGTATTGTGTGTATGAGTGTGTGTGTGTATGAGTGTTTGTGTGTGAGTGTGTGTATCTGTATGTGTGTATTGTGTGTGCGAGTGTGTGTGTATATGTTTATGTGTGTGTGTGTGTGTGTGTGTGTGTGCATGTGCATGTGTGTGTGTGTGTGTGTGTGTGCTTTTTTACGTTCAGCGTGTATATGTGTTGGGAACCAGACTGTTTGCATCTCTCTATGGAAACTTTTGCACCATTTCTTTTGTACTGTGAGACCAATATTTTCAGGCGGAACAAGAATTAGCACTGCAAAATGTGTTATTTGAACACCAAAGGGCTGTGCAGGTTGTTATGTTTAGCTTAAAATCATTTGCAGATTTTATTTTGAAATCAATGAATTCACCCGGGATATCCCATTTTGTAATTCCCGATGTTGTCGCGGTGTAAGTACTTATCTGATTTTGTGCTGTTCAAATATTTCAGTTGGCAGACTCACGGGGACTCATTGCAAGTGAATATTTGGCAGCATTTTTGGCCGTATCGTTAATGCTGCTGAGCCAGAAAACCAAGAAACCGTATATTTTTGCTATACCGGCTGTCCCAATTTTCGTTGGCTTACTGCATAATTTTGATCAGCAACGTGACATAACTATGGATTACATAAAAGGTATAATTGTTCAATTTTTTACTGGTTTAATAAGCGCTGTATCTCAAAAACTCTCTTTTTTATGTGCAAGAGGGGAGGGAGGAAGTTTGTTTGGTACTGATAACATGAAATGGGTTGAGTGAAAAAACAATATGAAGAAATTCTTCACATTTTTGGAAAGAGGGAAGAAATGTAGGATATGGAAGCAGTAAAGAATGAGGAAAAACTTAGAGATGCCGAAACTGATATATGCAAACAAGCCAGCAATGCTAATGTAATAATGAGTGCGTATGTGTCGATGTGAATGTATAAAATTCATGCATGTAGGCAAGTCTAGCACTGAAATAGTCGACCGTATGTATCAGTGCGTAAAGATTCTGTTTCATAAAATTATAGCGCGTTTGCTGCTGCATTCTTTAATCATCACCATGCAAGCAGAATTTTTTTCTTCGATCGTTTTTTTTTTTTTTTCAGAAAAAGCCGAACAATTACGTCGTAAGAATCGCCATCTCTTCAAACCGATTGGTGGCCCAATTACTCTTGCTGAGCTGGACAGACGTATTGAACAAGCAAAACATCAGGAAATGAAAGCAGTTCAACAAAAACCGAGAACAGGCTGAACATTTTTTTTCTTGGAGAAAAAGGAAGGGAAAGAGGAAGTTAAATAAATGTTCTCTACTTGATACCAACGGAGCACTAAGAGAACCGTGCTACTTGAAATTGGGTGAAAGTTTGAATGCAGGTTACTAATTCTTGAAATTAGAGTGTAAAAGGACAAAATAATAGGAGTTGGAGGTTAAAACTCTGCGTTTTGAGATTTTTGGGGTATTTCATTTTTATGGCCGCGTTGTCGAATGTAGCAGCATTTTTCCTTGAACTCGTTTTTGTTTCAACTAGCTTTTTGTTGTTATATGCCATTACAGTTTGTCTGCGTTTTCTCTTATTGGAAACATTATATTTTGCGTGATTTTCTGATCTGTTGTGTGCTTATACAGTGGAGGAAGTGTGGGACTAACTGATGCCAAGTATCCACTTTGTGGTGAGGTTGATCTGTGACAAGCAGTTGAGTGTAATTCCAGTAGAAGCTTGCCTTTCTTAATTTTATTTCTTAATTAATTTTGTTTTATAAAATAGGTGACCTGTAATCAACCCTGTAATCAAGTTTTGACCTGACCTGTAATCAAAGTAGATGACCTGGAATTTACTAAAATGCTTCCACAAATGATTCTTACTCTTTGTCTGTAGCCTTGAGCGTTCCGCTGCAGCCGCATGTGCTTTGCAGTTTGCCTTGCTTTTGCTTCCTTGAAAACAGGGACGGCTCTTGTAACTGCATTTCGTACTTCTTTGACGCCCCGCTATGAAATACACCAACGTTGTACGTGATGACTGGTCACCAGCAGTGTTTTATAATTTAATAGCCGAAATGACGCTGCTGCATGTAGGATAAGCTTTTTATCGTCCCTACCTGAGGGTTCCTGTTGCGCGGACCGCTTGTCCTCGGTTGTTCATTATCTAATGTGGCTGCTGTTGCGGGTAGGATTGGCTGCAACAATGGAACATGCTGGAACGGCACGCCGCCGCTATCCTCTTGATGAGAATCCGACTGTGACAGCCAGCGTCGGCGTTTCCGCCCGGCATCTTTCTCGGCTGTTTTCCCTTTCCGCCGCAGTTGACCTTCTTCGAGGCATGTTGCCGGATACATAACATTGAATTGAACTGAACAGTTGTGGGGCATGTAACGCAAAGGGTGCATGTGTTCGGGAAGAGATGGGCTTCAGTGTGCAAACGGCCTGAATGCTAGAATTAATGTTCGACATACCCTAAAATGCGCGAGCCTTTCGAAGTGCAGAGGGTATTGAGTGCCAGAAGTTAGTGTTTGCATAACGGATGAAAAAGAATAGTAAAGACAAGGAATCCTTCTCAAGCAGCCCCTTCTGGTTTGGGGTCTCTTGAAATTATAATCGCATAAAATCTGGGAGAATTAATTTTTCAGGCGAGAAAAAAAAAGAAAATCCACCAAACTTTTGCATAATGTCTCCGGAATATTTAGCCCAGTTTTTACCTGGAGGAAAAGGACGATGGGGTCGCATCGGTCAGTGCTCGTGCGGAAAAATAATAAAAATGAAAACCGATGTTCATGTTAAAGAAAAAAAAAAGACTGTAAAAAATAACCCAACGCTTATGGCGAAGCGATTAAGTATGAATAGCTGTAATTTCATTTTTCATATGTTTGATACGTACACACAGTACGGAAATCAACGTAGATTTTGCATAAAGGAAAACGACTAGTTTTAGCCGACTAGTCGTTTTTCGAAAACGACATATTGCAGGCCATCATGTTTGCAGCTGAGCTCCTTTGGGCGGACCGTGCATTGTTTTAGCAGTCTGTGGTTCGTCTCATTTTCGCGCTGCACCACCACCGGATAGGTATATGACGGTTCGGTCAATCTTATATTCCCTGCTAACGGCACTTCCTATCAACAATGAGGTCCGACAATGGATCTGCAACATGTGTTGATCCGTACGCTGTATCTTTTACATTATCGGCTACATCAACAAAGCGGGCAGAGAAGTAAGCAGTATGACTGAAGGTACTGTAATGGAGCTACGGGAAGAGAACAATAGCTTACGACAAAAAGTGCAAAGTATCAGCACAACCTGTTACAACGCTACAGATCTTTCAGCTCAAAAAGCAGCCTATAACATCCTTCAAATTCCAATGTTCTGAAAAAGGTAATGTTCATTCAAACTTCACTACCAGATGAGCTAGTACGGGCTGTAAGCCATAACAAGAGCAACTACTAAAGCTCGGCTCGGCTCAGCTCTCCTCGGCAGCTGCACGATTTGCCAATTGACTCGCAGACAGTGTAGTAAGAAAGCGGTGAGGGGTGTGGGAGAGAAGGGGGGAGGAGGTCCTCCCCGTGTCTACTTTTCTTTCCTTGCCCCCTGTTGCAAAGGAAG